ATCCTCATCCTCATCGTCACCAACTTCACTACCAGCATCATCACCACCATCATCAGCATCATCACCATCACCATCCTCATCATCACCATCACAACCACCATCACCATCACCACCACCACCATCGCCACCACCACCAACATCACCATCGTAATCACCACAACCATCGCCATCACCATCACCATCACCATCACCATCACCCCCACCATCGCCATCACCACCATCATCAAATTCACCATCACCATCACCACAACCATCGCCATCATCATCATCGGCATCATCATCAACATCATCATCATCATCATCATCATCATCATCAGCAGCATCAGCATCAGCATCATCATCATCATCATCATCATCATCATCATCATCATCATCATCATCATCATCATCATCATCATCATCATCACTATCACCACCATCACCATCCTGATCATCCCCATCCCCATCCCCATCCCCGTCCCCATCCCCATCCCCATCACCACCACCATCGCCATCACCAGCACCGTCACCACCATCACCGTCCTCATCGGCACCAATCATTTATCGCCATCCTCCTCCCCCTCCTCGACCCCCCCCCGCCCCTCCCCCCGTCGCCCCATGCCCCCGCGACGGCCCGGCCCGCCCTCCTCGTCGGCGAGGTCGGCGGCAGGACGGCCGGCTGCAGCTGCGACGGCGTCGGGAACTGGCGCGGGCGGCGTCGGCGGGGATGGTGAAAGGGGGGATGGCGGGGGACAAGGCAAGGCATGTAAGGGAGGTGAAGGGGGAGGGAAGAGAGAAAGAGAGAGAGGGAGGGAGAAGGGAGAGCAAGACGGCTTAAGGGGGCCCGATGACGGCACAAGAGACCCCCAAGAGGGCCCCAAGGGGGGGGCTTGAAGTGGCAGTTCGAGTCCTCCGCCCCAAGATGACCAGGCCCCCAAGAGGCCCAGGAGCCCCAGGAAGACCCAAAGGGACCCAAATTACGCCCCAAGAATCCGCCAAAACGTCCCCGAGACGCCCCAAGAAACCTAAAACCGCCTCCAAGAGGCTTTCTAAGATATCCGACAGAGCGCGATCCAGTCGTTCGCCTGATAAGTTTCGGGGGGGTCAAAGACCAAGGAACCCCTCGCCCCCATCACAAAAGCCTAAACGGTTGTCAGAAACCAGAGGGCCGCTTCCCCGCCCCCCCCCCCACACACACACACAAACAGCAATAACCAAACCACGTGCCCCGAATACTAAAGTGCCCCGGATAAAGTTGACGGTTGACCATCCCAGGCCAAGACAGAGTTGGTCGGGGAAAAGTGGCGCCGAAGCCGAACTTCATTATCGCTGGAGAAAAATACGAATCGAAGTTGTCAATTTCCTATGGAATAGCAGAACTAGCACGCACGTGTGTGGCAGTGCGAGTGGATAATCACCGTTCCTGAGTTCCTGCATCACGAACGTGTGGCAGGGCCATGGGACTCACACCAGGACAGCTTTCCCAAGTCATAAACGTGTGGCCGGGCCATGGGCTTCTCATACTTTCAGAATTCCCACGCCACGAACGTGGTGTGGCAGAGCTATGGGACGCTCACCAGTTCAATTTGCCCATGTCGCGAACGTGTGGCAAGGCCACGGCGTTTCAGTTTTCCCAAGTCACGTACGTGTGGCAGAGCTATGGGGTGCTCACCAGTTCAGTTTTGCCCAGGTCACGAACGTGTTGCAGGGCCATGGGGCTCTCACCATTTCAACTTTCCCAAGTCACTAACGTGTGGCAAGACCGTGGGATTCTAGTCCGTTGAGCCCTGGGTATTTAGATCTGACCCCCCTCCTGACCTCTCGGCGGTGAATAACATTGGTCTTAAAACCCTCTCTTCGCGGCGGGTATTGTTGTCTCTCTATTGTTTGGCGGGCTGGGGAATACTTGTTTTTTTCTCCAACGGGGTAATCCATTGTGGGCGACCTTGCACGCGGGAGGCTTTGTGAGCATCTTCTCATGAGGATTGCAATCGGAATTGCTTCGTTTGGATTCGCGAGTTTGCTCAAACTCGTTTGCCTAGCACTGCCAGCAAAACTCCTTCTGCCGTCTGGTCGGCGCGCGACGCGACGTGGGATTAATCCCGCCAGCCCTCTGGGCGTGGTTGGTCTAGGGCGCTTCCTCTTCCAACCCCCTTCCTCCCCTTCGGGGAGGGTTTTACCCCTCCCCCCACCCCTTCCCGTGGAACTGGACGAGGGGTGCCGCGACGCTTTGGAGCGTCCAAGATAGCCCAAGATGGCTCCAAGAGCGCCTCGGGAAGCAAAAGCAACCTCCAAATTGGCTCAATATGGCGCAAGATGCCTCAAGATGGCACCCAAGATGAGGCACCAAACCGCTCCAAGACGGCTCCAAATGGCCACGGAGTCCCCCACGGAGGCCCGCAAGAGGCCAAAACCCGTCCAAAACCAGCGGGAACTCAATGAATTTGGCCACCTCGTTTTTTTGCATTCGATGGCCCTCCGAAGCCCCAAGATCGCTCCAAAACCGCCCAAAAGGGCCCCAAGAGACACCCAAGAGAACGCCAAGACGGCCGCAAGAGCGCCCCAAGAGCGCACCAAGAGGTCCAAGAGGCGATTGCAAGCACTCTCGAAGGGCGAGGCTAATTGAAGCTCTTCCCTCTTTGGATCGATGTCCTCCAACATGGCTCCAAGAGCGCCCCCTAGGATCCCAAGGGCGCCCCAAGAGGGCCCCGAGAGGCGCCCAAGAGGCCCCAAGAGGAGTCCACGAGCTCCCACGAGACCCCTTAGCTCCCCGAGGCGCCCTAGAGACCCGCGGGACCGCCAAGAGGCCCCCACGACGTCCCAAAAGGCCTTCAAATTTGCCGTGTTCCTCCTCGGGCCAGAGGCGCTCGTCGTCGCTCGAAGAATCCCTCCTCCTTCTCCTCATCATCATCACCATCATATGAACATGTCTTATCAACCTCCGACATCCCTCATCAATTCCCCCCCTTTTCTTCCTCCTCCTGCGAACGATAACGACTGCCCCCCTCTTTGCTCCTACACTTCCCTGATCACCTCTACTCGCCTGGGCGTCGTCTCTACTCGCCCGGGCGTCGTTTCCTGAATGGGCTGGTGGGGATACTTTTGGGCAACAGGCTCGCGAGGCGGGCCGAGAACCGTCCGAACACTAGTCGGGCCGCGACCAGGCAGCAGGAAAAGAAACGCAAGCGAAGCGAGCGAGCGGGCACCCACTCAGAAGGAGAGCCAGAAACGATACACTCAAACCTGGTGGCGTTGGAAATCCCGGTGGCGACCAGCAAGTATGCGCAGCCAAAATGGAACGGCGGCGCGACCATAAACGCGCAGAGGTCGATCGCCCGGTATGGGTCAGACAAACAGCACCGTCAGAGACGAACTAGACCGACAGGCACACCCAGACGACATCCGTGACGCAGGCGACACAACTGCCAAAACATCGTGTCGGCGCAAAAGAGGAAGAGGGGCAACCTCATCACCGACAAGACTGCAAACGGCAGTAAAGCCTGTAACACTCGTCGAAAGCGAAGTCCACGCAGGAGAACGGCCAACGAGCGTACAGAGCCACCACACTTGCCGACCCGAGGTCCAGGTACCGTAAGGTAGGCAGTGTCGCGAGAGACCCGCTGGTGGGGATACTTTTTGGTCAACAGGCTCGCGAAGCGGGTCGAAAGCCGTCCGAACACTAGTCGGGCCGCGACTAGGCAGCGGGAAAAGAAAGGAAAAAACGCTGGTGAGGATATTTGTTTTGATCTGCGGCCCGCAAGGAAGAGTCCAGAGGGCGTGTCCACCGGGCTGACTGGGGCACAGAGCCAGATAATTTGCGAACCCAGCTGTCACCGTCGACAGCCGACCGCACATGCAACATGCAGAAAACATGGGGGAAAACGGGCAGACGGAGGCAACAAGCCTAAGAGATGCAGAGCGCCTGTCGCGAGCCAGCCGCACGTGGCGACGCACGTGGCGCCAGCACCATGAAGCCGGGCGCTGAGCAGGGCGAGCTGGTGGGGATACGCGAAACGTCAGGAAATCCCCTCTATTGTTGGGCGGGCTGGATCCGCCGGCCCCCTTGCGGGATCACCAGGCTGCGAGGGTGAAGATTGCAGATCCCTGTTCCAGTTGCAGCTTCCAATTTCCACTGTTACAGTCCTGCTCTCTGCTTCCTTACTGCTAATTGTTGCTGTCCGCGCGAGAGGTGGGAGCCCCAAGCGGGATTTTGTACCACGCCCTGGGAGGGTTCTCAGAATTCCTCGGGAGGGGTGGGACACGTGTATATCTATCTATATATATATGATATATATATATATATAATATATATATATATAATATATATATCATATCATATTCGCGTCCCCGAGGCCTAATCCCGAGTACATTACGCCATGATCGCGTCGCCGAGGCCACAAACCCTTGTAAATTACGCAGTGTTCGCGTCCCCGACACCTAATCTGTTGCAAATTACACGATCAAGCCCTTGTAAATTACGCAATAGTCGCGTCCGCGGGGCCATAAACCTTCGTAACGTACGCAATGTTCGCGCCCCCGAAACCAGGAACCTTCGACAATTACAATATTCGTGTCCCCAGGACCATGAACCTTTTGTAAATTACACCATACTTGCGTCCCCGAGGCCACACACGGGGGTCAGACCCAGCAGCGGCAACAAACATGATTTCAGATATCCTGACTGGCATCCTCCAAAATGCATACGACCTACAACCCAGGCGCGGTGGCGAGATGGCCCGAAGGCCATTAGTAAGGTCCGATGGTGTCCCCCTGTAACACGACCCCCTGCAGTCCCTAATGGGCCAGACATGAATCAATGTAGGTGGATACGGCTGGTTCCTGCCGTGCCGTTGTGGGTGGCGACGTCTGACACCGGACGGATCATTCAATCGTGAACGATCGGACCATATCAAAATAATCAACTTCTTCAGTACGGAAATGGTTCAAGCCGCAGGGGTCCCTCAACCTTGAACGCCCACCACGGCGGCGACGCCGCGTCGACGCGGCGCGAGCTTGCTGTACTCAACGCCCGCAGATCAAAGACCGACGCGGCCTCCACGAGCCCCTCGTTGGTGACGGAGGCGAGCGCACCGCAGTCCAGGCGCGCGAGCAGCCTGTCCAGCAGATCCTCCGAGGGGGCGGGAGGAGGGCTGGCGAGGCGGCGGTGGCGTCGGCGGCCGCGGCGGCGGCGCCTGCGAATTTAGAGTCCTGCGCGCAGCTGCCAAAGGCCGCGTAACCCGCCCGTTGACTGGTAAGCCACTGGAGTGAAGGGCCCCTGCATGCTTTCGAGGACCACGGACCACAACTTACGTTGCCTCTTTGAAGCGGCATGAAATACACATACACATGATGGGTAGACATCGGAACGCGTGCCTCTCTTGAGCCCGAGGAACGTCGGGGCGCCCTGGCAAAACACAGGTGAATTCGTAATACGCGCACGTCACGCAAACCCAACAGCGGCCTGCCACACAGCGTGCCGACGGCCCACCCGCGACCCCGCGCCAGCCGCAGCACGCGACGCCCACGGCTCGAGCCCCCTCACCGTTATCCACCGGTGCGGGGCCCTGCCTGCTGCAGTCCAGGGCAACTTCACAAGCGTGCGAAATGTCTAGACATGCCATGGCGCCGCCCAGTCGAGAGACTCGCGGAAGCCTGCGGAGCGATGCGGCATCTCGCCGACATTCTTTTGCGCGAGGTTCGCTTGACATCTGCTCGGTTCCACCAGCGTGGTCCTCGAACCTCTCGGAGTCTCCCTGGAAGGGCCCACGAGGCCTCGCAGGGCCTCGATCGCTTGAAGCTGCTCAGACGCCGCCGTACTCAGAGAGTGTGCGAGACGGGGGAATGAAATGGAGAGGGACCGCTGACGAAGTCAGAACGCACACTGTGGCAAGGTGTCATACTATGCGCAGCAGCTTCTTGGGCCTCCTCGTCCTGACCCGCGTCGTTGTTCCGCAGCGTCGAGGTCGGCTGCGTTGTCTCTTCAGGACAGAGCCTCGCCTCAGCACCGCTGGCTTTCTGGCGTTCGTTGCGCGCCGACGAGACACAGCCCATGCCCTGGCCCTGGCCCTGGCCATCGTCGTCGTCGTCGTCGTCATCGTCGCCATCATCCGGTTACCTGTTACCTGTTGGCTGAAGTGCCGTGTCGCCACAGCCCTGCCATCCTCCTCCTCCTCCTCCTCCTACTCTTCCTCCTCCTCCTCCCTTCTCCTCGTCCTCCCTTCTCCTCCTCCTCCCTCCTCCTCCTCCTCCTCCTCCTCCTCCTCCTCCTCCTCCTCCTCCTCCCTCCTCCCTCCTCCTCCCTCCTCCTCCTCCTCCTCCTCCTCCTCCTCCTCCTCCTCCTCCTCCTATCCTCCTCCTCCTCCTCCTACCTCCTCCTCCTCCTCCTCCTCCTCCTCCTCCTCCTCCGCCTCCTCCTCCTCCGCCTCCTCCTCCTCCTCCTCCTCCTCCTCCCTCCTCCTCCTCCTCCTCCTCCTCCTCCTCCTCCTCCTCCTCCTCCTCCTCCTCCTCCTCCTCCTCCTCCACTCCTCCTCCTCCCTCCTCCTCCTCCTCCTCCTCCTCCTCCTCCTCCTCCTCCTCCTCCTCCTCCTCCTCCTCCTCCTCCTCCTCCTCCTCCTCCTCCTCCTCCTCCTCCTCCTCCTCCTCCTCCTCCTCCTCTCCTCCTCCTCCTCCTCCTCCTCCCTCCTCCATCCTCCCTCCTCCCTCCTCCTCCTCCCTCTCCTCCTCCCCTCCTCCCCTCCTCCCTCCTCCCTCCTCCCTCCTCCCCTCCTCCTCCTCCCTCCTCCTCCTCCCTCCTCCCTCTCCCTCCTCCCTCCTCCCTCCCCCCCTCCTCCCTCCTCCCTCCTCCCGCCTCCTCCTCCTCCTCCTCCTCCTCCTCCCTCCTCCCTCCTCCCTCCTCCTCCTCCCTCCTCCTCCTCCTCCTCCCCTCCTCCTCCTCCTCCTCCTCCTCCTCCTCCTCCCTCCTCTCCTCCTCCTCCTCCTCCCTCCTCCTCCTCCTCCTCCGCCTCCTCCTCCTCCTCCTCCTCCTCCTCCTCCCTCCTCCTCCTCCTCCTCCTCCTCCTCCTCCTCCTCCTCCTCCTCCTCCTCCTCCTCCCTCCCTCCTCCTCCTCCTCCTCCTCTCCTCCTCCTCCTCCTCCTCCTCCACCTCCTCCTCCTCCTCCTCCTCCTCCTCCTCCTCCTCCTCCTCCCTCGTCCTCCTCCTCCTCCTCCTCATTCTTCTCCTCCTCCTCCTCCAACACGGTCTCCTCCTCCACCTCCACCTCCTCCTCCTCCTCCTCCATGTTCTTCTCGCGCACTGGGAGCTCTGCGGGAAACGCCAGGGAGGGTTAGGTCAATGCGCCGATGACCCACCCATTGAGGATGAGGATCGGGAGGTACCTCACCTGTCACTTGAATCTTGGATGAGGGTCAAGGAACAGGACAACAACGAGGATCGAGACCCATTCGCTCCTTCCCCTCCTCGAGGATCGACGGCAGACTGCTCATGGCGCGGTAGGCGGGCAAAGAAGTCAGATGTTCTGATTGACGTCGCGATCAACAGCCCTGCACGCGGCCGGCAATCGCGCCCAGCTTCCATGGCGGAGCCACACAGTAATCCCGACAGCTCTCTGGGCGACAGGCGGTCTAACGAGATCTTGATTTCCTCTTCCAAAAGAGCCCCTCGACCCCTTCGGGGAGGGGTTTACCCTTCCCCCCACCCCCTCTCCTGGACCTGGACGGGGGGTGGTCGCGAGCGGTCAGGGCGTCAAAGATTGCCCAAGATGGCCCCAGGAGGGCTGAGAAGCCAAGATGGCCTCCAAGATCGCTCAAGATAGCCCAACATGGCTCAATATGGCCAACAACATGCCTCCAAGAGACCCCAAGAAGGCCGCAAGAAGGATCCAAGAGCTTTTGGAGACCCGTCAGGACATCCCCGAGAAGCCAACATCCTTCAACAACCAGAGTAAAACCAATGATTCTGGCCTTCTCGCCTTTTCGCTTCCGATGCGCTCTTGAGGCCTCAAGATGGCCCAAGAGAGCTCCAAGAAGGGCCCGAGAGGCCCCCAAGACGGCCCCAAGAGCGCCCGAGATCGCATCGGGCCGCATCGGATCGCCAGGAACATCGAAATCCAAGCGGCTCGGGCCGGGCGAACTCATCGAGTAGGAGATCGACTACATAACTGATTTACCCTACAATTGAATGTGTCGTCGGGTCGACTGAAACTACGAACATGTCTGCACGTGCTCTCCTAGATCCGACAAGGAAATCAAGCACGGGCTAAATCAAGTATGCGTTCGATCCCACACACGAACTCAGCATCGAACCGGATCCGTCAGATCAAGCTGAGCCGGAGCAGAGATACACACACACACACGTGGAGCCGTCTCGGCCGCCGGAGGCGCGACGGTCGCCCTCGCGCCCTCGCGCCGGGGGCGGGCCCACGGGCCGCGAGGCGTGAGGCGCGGCGGTCCTGACGCCACTCCGAGCGGCCTGGCCTGAGCGGCCTCCTCCCCCTCCTTCCCCCTTCTCCTTCCGCCTCCTCCTCGTCGTCGTCCTCCTCCCTTTCCTCCTGCTCCTGGTCCTCCTCTTCCTCGCCCTCCTCCCCCTCCCCTCCTCACCCTCTTCTCCTGCTGCTGCTGCTGGGGGAGAGAAGGAGGGCGGAGGAGGGAGGAGCGGGGAGGAGGGGGAGGAGGGTGAGAGGGGAAGGCGTAGGCGCATGCGCAGGCGTCGGAGGTCAATGATGCCGCGGAAGCCATGTATAGCCGCACAAACCGTGAACACGACGGCGAGGAAAATGCGCGGGATGGCGCGCCTTGAGCGAAATGCTGCAAGCACGCCAATCACTGCATACACACACTCACTCACTCACTCACTCACTCACTCACACACACACACACACGCACAAACTTGTTTGGCGCTGCGGCCGAGCGCGTAGCGACGCAGCGGAGTCAAGCTCCTCGCTCCTCCTCGTCCTCCTCCTCCTCCTCCACCTCCTCCTCCTCCTGTGGCGCTGCTCCGCCTTGTGCGCGCCCTCCCACCCAAAACGGCGAAGTCGTCCGAACGCTTTGGAGTCTTCTTCCCATCAGTTTAGAAGTTACGAAACCCTCTCCATGGCGGTGGCGGAGGTGGCTCCGCTGCACCAACCGCCGGAGAGGGGCACGCGTGTCCCTTGTAGTTTACGGCGCATGTACGCCAGGTCTGGGCGTTTGTTTCTTGGATCGGCGCTGGATCCCCATTTCCTGGCACGCGGTGCGCGCAAGCAGTAGCTGCGCCGGAGGCGCCACCTGAGGGGTCCGGCGCCGATCCGACAAATATGCGCGGACCTTCGAAAATTACGTTTGTGCAAATGCTTCTTCTTCCATCCAAAACCTCCCACCTCCTTTCTCATCCTCGGGTCGGACGCAAGCGGGGTTAGCGAATCAGGTCGAGCAGCCGGCTTCTTCTTGCGCCTCCCATCTCCCCAAATTCCGACCTTTCCCCAACAATCCCTCACCCCTCTTCGTCCGATCGGCTGCAGAGCGTCAGCGTCGCCGTCGTCATTGCCGTCGTCGTCGCCGCCGTCGCCGCCGCCGTCGCCGTCGCCGTCGCCGTCACTGTCGTCGTCGTCGTTTTCGTTTTCGTCGCCATGGTCGTCCCTTTCAGGCACGGTCGGCGGCACCAGTCGTAAGGCCTTCCCAATCGTCCCTGCCCAAAACATCCCTTCCCACTTTCGTCCAACTCGACATCTCCCATTCCGTCCACGCTGAGTCGACGCTCGTCGACGCTAACCGACGCTAATCGACGCTAAATCGGCGCTACCCTATTGATCACGCGACGCTAATCGACGCTGACGCACAATTGCGATGTAGAAGGGTCCCATCTTTTGTTTGCTGCCGAACCCTCCCCGCACTTCGTCCGACTCGGCGTCTCCCATTCCGTCCACGTCCTCCTCCGCCCCCTCTGCCCAAGGCTCCCGCACGCGGCGGGCGCTGCGGATGGCGGCACAATTGACCCCCCGCGCGGTCGGCGGGGTCCTTGTCGTGCCGCAGGAGCTCGGCCAACCGCCTGGGGCCAGAGGGGACTATGAAACCAAGGAGCTCTCAAGCTGTGATTGCGCAGTTAACTGCCTCTGCCTGGCTCTAGAACATGTCGGACGACTTCTAGATTCGAGCCTTGGCGGCTCCGGATGGGGCAAGGGTCTTACATACGAGTGGACGCGTTGGCAGGAGAAGAGAACAACCAAACCCTGTTGCGGCCTCTTGGGCCGACTTGGGGCGGTCTTGGCGGCCTGTTGGGATGCCGTGGAGCGTCAGAAACTCGAACGTCGATACGATAGCCCCCAAAACATTAAAAATGCTCGTCCAACAAACCCGGAAAGGTATACGGAAATGTGAGGCGTGGCAACGTTTTAAAAACACCTGATTGGGCGACGGGCAATTGCGACGCTGTGTGTATCAATGTTGGTGTACCCTGCCCAAGACTGTGCTGTGCTGTGCCGTGCCGAACTGCGATGTGCCATGCCGCGATTGTGCTCTATGGCGTTGTGGATCGAGTCCACCTTGGCATTCGAGTCCTGACCGAAGTGATATGGATCTTAAGCTCGATCTGCCTGAGCACATAGTAGCAGCCCCAGAGCTACTTGAACTGGAAACGAGGAGGACGTTCAATCACCTTGACCTCAAAATCCAAGACGGCTCCGAAAAGGAGAAACACGACAAGCTCACGGACGCGCCACAGGATGTGCTGGGGGCGCAATCTGGGGATGCGCCAGGGGACGTGTCAAAGGACGCATCAGGGGACGTGCCCTGAACGTGTCAGGGACCTGCCACAGGACGTGCCAAAGCGCGTTCCATGGGGCGGCCAGAGGACGTCATGCAAAAGGCCGTTGCAAGGGGCCCGCCACGGAACGGGCAAGGGAGACGCCTGGGGACGAGGAAGGCTGAGGAAGGAACACACAACAGGGGACGAGCCGAGTGGCGTGCTAAGGGACGTGCCAATGCACGTCACGCCTGAACGTCACAAGGGACGCGTCAGGGGGCGCACCAGGGCGCCAGGGGACGCCCCACGGACGGGCGGGGTTGGACCGCGACGCACTCTACTGCGACAAGCGGTTCACTCGAGACATCCTCAACAAACAAGTCCTCATGTTACACATCCGCCTGGGCGACCTGGACACGTGAAGCCAAGCGTCTCGCTCGAGACGTCCTCAACACCTCCGCATGCTAGACATCCGCCTGGGCGACCTGGACAAGTGAAACCAAGCATGTCGCCCAACACATCCTCAACACATCCTCATGCGAATTAGACACCCGCCTGGGCGATCTGGACACGCGAAACCAAGCGGTTCACTCGAGACATCCTCCGAGCATTTTCATGTTAGACACCCGCCTGGGCGACCTGGACACGTGAAAGCAAACATGTCGCTTAACACATCCTCGACACATCCTCATGCGAATTAGACACCCGCTTGGGCGACCTGGGCGCGCGAAAACGAGTGGCTCACTCGAGACATCCCCCACATATCTTCATGCTACACATCCGCCTGGGCGAGCTGGGCACGTGAAACCAAGCGTCTCGCAACACATCCTCAACGCATCCTCATGCTAGACATCAGCCTGGGCGACCTGGGCACGTGAAAGCAAGCGTCTTACTCGAAACATCATCAATCCATACTCATGTTCGACATCCACCTTGGCGACCTGGGCGCGTAACAAAAACGGTTCGCCCGATACTTCCTCAACGCATCCTCATGCTAGGTTTCCGTCTGGGTGACCCAGCGTCTCCCTCGAGACATCCTCAACAAATCCTCATATTAAACGTCCGCCTGGGCGACCTTGACAATTGATAACAAGCGTTTCGCTCAACACATCCTCGTGCTAGACATCCGTCTGGGCGACCTAGACACGTGAAACCAAGCGTCTCCTCTGAGACATCCTCGACAAATCCTCATGCTAGATATTTGCCTGGGCGTCTCGTTCGAGACATCCTCAAGACCTGGGCAAGTGAAAATTACGCTACCGAGGACCCCCCACATACTTATAGTATAGCTGGAGTGATGATAGCTGAAGTGAAGCATGTGAGAATGATGTTGGTGGCCGTTGCCCCGCCGATACCCTTGGTGACGCCAGTCAAGAGGACAGGTAACGAGGAGAAGCACCGCGCCCGCCACACTTTGCGAACCCGAAACGGATAGCGACCGCACCCCCAAGGCACCTCTTGCGGCGTCGAGGAAGTGCAACGCCTGCCACACCAGCGCGCCCCCTGTGGCGTCGAGGAAGTGTCACGCCTGCCACGCTTTGCGGGCCTGAAACGGATAGCGACCGCACCCCCAGCGCACTCCCTTCGGCGTCGAAGAATTGCCACGCCTGCCACACGCTGCGAGCCCGAAACGGGTAGCGACCGCACCCCCAGCGCACCCCCTTTGGCGCCGAGAAGAGACAACGCCTGTCACGCTTTGCGAGGCCGAAACGGATAGCGACCGCACCCCCCGCGCAACCCCTGCGGCATCGAGAAAATGCCACGCCTGCCACACGTTGCGAGCCCGAAACGGATAGCGACCGCACCCCGAAGGCACCCCCTGCGGCGCCGAGGAAGTGCAACGCCTGCCACACCAGCGCACCCCCTGTGGCGTCGAGAAATGTGTCACGCCTGCCACGATTTGCAGGCCCGAAACGGACAACGACCACACCGCCAGCGCACCCCCTGTGACGCCGAGAAGAGACAACGCCTGTCACGCTTTGCGAGGCCGAAACGGATAGCGACCGCACCCCCCGCGCAACCCCTGCGGCATCGAGAAAATGTCACGCCTGCCACACGTTGCGAGCCCGAAACGGATAGCGACCGCACCCCGAAGGCACCCCCTGCGGCGTCGAGGAAGTGCAACGCCCGCCACACCAGCGCACCCCCTGTGGCGTCGAGAAATGTGTCACGCCTGCCACGCTTTGCAGGCCCGAAACGGATAGCGACCGCACCCCCAGCGCACCCCCTTCGGCGCCAAGAAAGTGCCACGCCTGCCACGCTGTGCGAGCCCGAAACGGACAACGACCGCACCGCCAGCGCACCCCCTTTGGCGCCGAGAAAAGACAACGCCTGTCACGCTTTGCGAGGCCGAAACGGATAACGACCGCACCCCCCGCGCAACCCCTGCGACATCGAGAAAACGCTACGCCTGCCACACGTTGCGAGCCCGAAACGGATAGCGACCGCACCCCCAACGCACCCCCTGTGGCGTCGAATAAGTATCACGCCTGCCACGCTTCGCGAACCGGAAACGGATAGCGACCGCACCCCCAGCGCACCCCCTGTGGCATTGAGAACGTGCCACGCCTGCCACACGTTGCGAGCCCGAAACGGATAGCGACTGCACCCCCAGCGCACCCCCTGTGGTGTCCAGAAAGTGCCACGTCTGCTAGGCTCTGCGGCAGTGTCGTGGATATAGGCCGCGCTGAGAGACCACCCCCTGCGCACCCCATAAGGTGTCCAGGCCGTGCCGCGCCTGCTAGGCTTTGCGATAGTGTCGTGGATACCTGCCGCGCTGAAAGACCACCTCCTGCGCACCCCATATGGTGTCCAAAAGGTGCCGCGCCTGCTAGGCCTTGCGACAGTGTCGTGGAAAGCGGCCGCGCTGAGACCCCCCCCTGCACACCCCCTACCTATGGTGTCAAGAAAGTACTACGCCTGCTCGCCGTTGTGCGGCAGTGCCGTGGATAGCGGCCGCGCTGAGAGACCACCCCCTGCGCAACCCCTATGGTGTCCAGAAAGTGCCACGCCGGCTAGGCTTTGCGACAGTGTCGTGGATGGCGGCCGCGCTGAGAGACCACCCCCTGCGCACCCCATAAGGTGTCCAGAAAGTGCCACGCCTGCTAGGCTTTGCGACAGTGTCGTGGATAGCGGCCGCGCTGAGAGACCACCCCCTGCGCACCCCCTCTGGTTTCCAGGCCATGCCACGCCTGCTCGCCTTGTTGCGGCAGTGTCGTGGATAGCGGCCGCGCTGAGAGGCCACCCCCTGCGCACCCCCTACGGTGTTCAGAAGATGCCACGCCTGCTAGGCTTTGCGACAGTGTCGTGGACAGCGGCCGCGCTGAGAGGCCACACCCTGCGCAACGCGCACCCCCTTATGATGTCCAAGAAGTGCCACGCCTGCTAGGCTTTGCGACAGTGTCGTGGATAGCGGCCGCGCTGAGAGAACACCCCCTGCGCACCCCCTACGGTGGCCAGAAAGTGCCACGCCTGCTAGGTTTTGCGATAGTGTCGTGGATAGCGGCCGCGATGAGAGACCACGTGCCGCGCACCCCCTATGGTGTCTAGAGGTGCTGTGCTGTGCTGTGCTGTGCTGTGCTGAGCTGTGCTGAGGTGCTGTGCTGTGCTGTGCTGTGCATTGCTGTGCTGAGCTGTTCTGTGCTGAGACGAGCTGTGCTGTGCTGTGCTGTGCTGTGCTGTGCTGAGCTGTGATTAGCAATGCTGTGATGTGCTGTTTACATGCTGCGTGTCAATGTGCAGTGTGCTGTGCTGTGCTGTGCTGAGCTGCGCTGTGCTAAGCTCTGCTGCGCAGTGGTGCGCTGTGGTGTGTGAGAAGGAGAAGGCGGGAGGAGGAGGGGAGGTGAGTGAGCTTCGCGGGTGCGACGCGGCAAGGAAGAAAACCATAACCCCACGAAACATGTGGGGAACAAACATTTCACCTGAGACATCCTCTGAATTGTAGTCCCCAGGAGAGGAACGATCTATAGCAAAACAAACGCTTCGCTCGAGACATCTTCACCAAATTCTGGACGCTTCGCTTATCCCCGCCATCCCATCCCGAAACGATGTCCAAACGAGTTGAGGTGATCAGGGAAGTGCGGCAGCAAAGAGGAGGACGGCCGAACCGTGCAAAGGAGTGAGGAGGAGAAGGAGGAGGTGGATGGATGGATGGATGGGGGTGGGAAAACGGAGGATGAATAGGAGGAGGAGGAGGCGGAGGAGGAGGAGGAGGAGGAGGAGGAGGACGAGGAGGAGGAGGAGGAAGAGAAGGAGTAGGAGCAGGAAGGCGGAACAGGAGGAAGAGGAGGAGGGCAAACACAAGGGCC